ACACACAAAGAGGAGCTCATAACCAAGGGCTTCAATAGAAAGTAAATGTTTTAAAAAACGATGACAGCAACAGATGTACAAATGTGCTTGATACAGTTGATGTATGGAATGTTGTAAGAGCTGTAAGATCCCCCACAAAGTGATTTTAAAAAAGCGTTTAACAATTCTGGCTTGCATTTTTGGGTACTAGCTCAACCTGTGTGTGTACAGGTATATTGTGTATATAGTTATTAAAGCCATGCTTCGTGGTATTTGTTTAATGCGTAAGCACATAAATTTTCTCCAGCCTGGGCTCCCAACTTTTGGGTGTGTCATATTGCACATAATGGATGTTAAATGAAAACCTTTTTAGTTTCTTTAAAACATTACTTAGTTCTTAAGAATTTCATGAAAGACTATTGTCTTTGATATAAAGATTGAAAAAAAAAAAGAAAGCTTGAAGTTGCTGAGAAAAGGTACATAAATAAATTGATGTATGGATTATTCTAGGGGAAAAATTGCTGTAAGAGGCTGCAATAAAATGATTTATTTATAATTTTTTAAAGGGGAAAAATACCTAAATATTGTGAAACCAGTAATATTAGGAGTTTTAGCTATTTTGAAAATAAATACTTTGCTGAGAAGTCAAAACAGAGCTTTCGAGATTTCAGAAATGATTTCCCCTGGAAAATTCTGATAAATGGGATGCCTGAAGGACCTCCCCCAGCAGCTTGCCTTTTCTCCGCAGTTCATCTAGTAATACTTGTGCCTGTGTGCTGGTGCGTGCATGTATCGCATTTCACGGTAACTGTTTTCATGCACGTGTCCTCTTTTCCCTGTGACCCCGAAGGGCAGAGCCTGAGTCTCAGTTATCTGGCTTTAGAAGGTGTTCATTTCCGTTACATCTAGTGACGAGTGGGCATGAAGCAGTAGGAGGGAACTATAGAGCGATGAGAGAGCGGACAACTCACGGCAGCCTTATATGCGGTAGATTGAAATGCTGTCTGCTCCGCTTCATCCTCAATTGCTGGCTGGATGAGGCCATCGTGCTCATCTCATCAAAGGGTGTCCCTTGCTCTCGTTGGTCTCCTCCTTGTTCACACTCATGATGTCCTCCTTCGTGGTGGATCCTTCCTAACGATGTGTCCGAAGCAAAATGCCCAATGTGATGTTGTAGTCCGTAAGGTTTTCACTGGCTGATAGTCACAGGTGGTTAATCAGCAGGCCTTTCTTAGTCTGTCTTAGCCTGAAAGCTCCATTGAAGCCTGTGGATAGTGCTGCTGAGGGAGATGAATTTACATAGCCGGTATGTATTCATCCCTCAGTGCCCATAGATCCCACAAACACAAATTCAACCAACGTCCAGGTGAAGACGTCCAGGGGTGGATGATGGGTAGGCATCCCTGCGGTAGCCTCCCCCGTTTTACAGCTCCTCGGCCTCTCCTCAGTACTTGTTTTTGAGCACTGTTTGCCATGTCTGTTCCGTTAGTAGTGTGCACCTTTGTTTATGTGGGGGGAAAAAGACTTCTAAAAAGTAAATAAGTGGTCAAAGCAATCCTTCAGAGGCTGAGTGGGAGTGTGAAGTGCTACTTACTTAGTATTTAAATTGTGTTAGGTATTATATGTAATCTAGAGATGATTTATTATATCATGGAAGATCTATATATGTTATATGCAAATACTAGGCCATTTATATGGGACTTTTAAGCATCTACTTTTTTGTATTTGGGGAAGGGGTGGATGGGAAATCTTGAAATCAACACCCTCTTCTAGGAAACAAACAGATAACTATACAACTAAAACTTTTATTTAGGACTGGTCTTTACTATGGAGTTTAATAAGAAAAAGTAAATACCAACTGCTGTGGAATTTTAAATTTCATGGGGAGTAAAACTGGAAACTCAAACCCCCTGCCATTGAGCCGATTCCGACTTAACGTCACCCTGTGGCACAGGGTGGAACTGTCCCTGGGGTTCCGAGACTGTAACTCTGTTTTGGAGTAGAAAACCCCACTTTCTCCTGCAGAGCTGCTGGTCCTCTCAGACTGCTGACTTGTGGTTTGCTAACTGCACTTTGTAACCCTGTGCCACGAGGGCTCCTTTTGGGTAGTAAGTACGCTCTAATATGAAGAAACAGATTTTG